GTTAGAAAGAGGGAGAGGAGAAGTAAGTGGGGTCTGGGGGTTGTTTCATGTGTTAACAGCTGTGTGTAGTGTTAATGACTAAGGATTCCCCCCCAAAAGGCGAGTTATTATGGATAGACATGTACAGCTATTCAAAGTAGACCTACTACTACTACTATTACTATTACAACTACTACTACTTCTACTTTGTTGTCACTCGGAATCGAGTATGACGATCGTCCAGCTATGATACAATGATATGAGTTGTCAAGGATGTCACCTTCATTGGTGAACTCTGAGGTGACTCGAGAGGCTAAAACGGAACCGGCAGAGGCGTCCACAGATGTTGCACATAGGGAGGGCTACGTCTAGTGCGGAGGGCGGCGGCAGTGTCTTTCCGGCTTTGGCGCTTGTTTGCCTCGGTATGCAGTCGGGCTAATTCAAAAGTATTGACACACACACACACACACACACACACACACACACACAATTACCAGACCTCACCCGACCTGGCCCCACAATAAATTGGGCCACATTAGCCTCTCCACAATACAAGAAAAGGAAACTGAAAGGTATTTAATGGCCCGTGACCTCTAATTGGTGCCTGGTGGTAATGAAACAAGCGCATATACATCTTGGGGGCCATTCTGGGTCGAGGTCGTTAAGTTGCGGGCAGAGAGGGCGATAATGGCTTTTTTTTCAGTTTCTTTAAATACTTTCATTGTTTACTTCCAAACTATTAATTTACTTTATAATTCCATATACTATGTATTTACGTTACATTTACCTACATAACCACGAATTCATTTTTAATTATATTTATTTTTTCTCTACGGACTGCGCCATACAAACTGTAGTTCATTACCTATGTTTGGTGTCATTTGTTTCTGTTTCCTTTATGTTTGGTACAAAACAAAGAAATAATGAAAAGACTTCATTCGAAAGTGAATTTCATCTTTGACTTCGAACTTTTATGATTAATATTAAAAATTTTCTAACATCCCCTCTGAAGCACTAATGCCTTGAAATCATTTGCATTTTGTTAGTCCTGATATTTAACAATATTTTATATAATAACAGCTCTATTTATCAATTGTGATCACATTTAGTTTGAATAAATGGACAGCTGCACGATCATTTTCTATGAACCAATCAGCTATTTTTATAGAAGAGGGCGGCATACGGTGGCCAAGTTAGCGTGGGAATACCTTTTATAGTACGTCATATGTCTTGGTCAACAACGAGTTTTTCAAAATTATGTCACTAAATCCATTCGTTAAATTTAGTTTTATTAATATATGACTATTTCATTCTTTTACAACTTATCTAAAACTAACTTGAAATAAATGTTAATTATAACATAACATAGACTGGATTCATATCTTACCCAAAATAACTTAATTTAATTGTTGAAATTTAACCTAAAAGAAGATGAATTTGTTTCTGACGTAGACAAACTTAATTTAGCCTAACTTGAAATATAAGTTTATACCAAGTCAATTCTCATCCTTTTTAAAACTAAACTAACCTAACCTAACTTAACCTTAACTTATCCCTAACATAACCCAACCCTTAATCTAACCTACCCTTAACCTAACCATGCCCCTGCCTTAATCTACCCCTGGCCTAACTAACCCCTATCCTAACCCACCTAACCTAACCTACCTCTAACCTTAACCTACCTCTAACCTTAACCTACCCTAACCTAACCTATCCCTAACCTAACCTACCTCTAACCGACCCTAACTCAACCAACCCCTAACCTAACCAACTCCTAACCTACCCCTACCCTAATCTAACCCAAACCTAACCAACCCCTAACCTAACCTACCCCTACCTAATCTACCATTTCCCTAACCTAATCCTAACCTAACCTACCCAATCCCACCTACATCTACCATTTCCCAACCTAATCCTAACCTAACCCTAACCTAACCTACCCCTACCTAATCTACCCTTTCCCTAACCTAATCCTAACCTAACCCTAACCTAACCTACCCCTACCTAATCTACCACAATCCGCACCTAACCTAAGTATGCCATGGTAAAAGTTTAATGTGTGGTAAGAGTCCACCCCCCCAACACCTGCCTGCAGTAAGTGACACCTATTACTTTACGTTAAGCAAACACAAACAGCCATTCCTGTGGAGTTTTCCTGAGAGCTATTTAACATAATTCATCAAATTTTACGTACTGTTACATCATAATCTTATAAAGAGTGTTTCTTTTTATCTAAGTGTGTCGAGTGTGTTAAGTGTGTTTACCCAAGTGTCTTGAGTGTGGCTACATTATAATCTTAAATATGTGTGGTAGTAAGGTCGTAAGGAGAAGAAATTTGTTTTTCAATTTAGCATTCATTCCTCCCGTCTTAACTACCCTATGGTATTAGTGGTTCCCATTTACCCCAAATAATCTGGCAATGAATATCGCATTTTTTTGTCTTTACTTAAAAAAAACACTTAATGTCTTAAATGTTCAATAAAACCCATCAGTAGTAATGTTTCTTATCACTCACTTTGATATTAAGAAACTTTAAGTATCCAAAATTGAGATAAAACCTAAAGTGAGATTAACAATTAGGACGAATTTTGGATGTGGGTTGATAGCTTACATACTTGAGTCAGTCGTTACTTCACACTCTAGTAAAAGCTCTCAGTTCTCTGCGTCTATCACCCACGGAATAGAGTGTCAGCCCAGGGTGTCAGTCACGAGGTCCTGGTGTTAACTGACGAGTGTTAAAAATATCGTGTTTACTGACAGGTTTTAGTGGGATAAGTTGAGATTGTATTAGCTTATTCTATCACCATTATTCTATCACCAGTCAGAGGAAATATTTACTGTATATCTGACAATTATCATCAGTCAAGATTGAGAAAAATTATATTTTCACAAATTATCATAATATAGATAGACGCTTCATACATTTGAGTCAAACCTGAATAAACTTATACATACTGGAATGTTGCTTTTACACCGTATAAATATTTAATATATACAGTAGCCAATGTACAGTATTCCTTAAGCAAAAATAACCCTTCAATATCATAAAGGAATTCCCATTACAGTCATCTAGTCGTCCAAAGAGAGACATTTACCACGTAATGTGAGTTTACATATGTACAGTGCAACAAGTATATGTATGGTGCTGTTCCTTATTACGTGTCAATATACACGAGTATACATATATCATTTTATATGGTCAACGTATATGTACTGTATATATGTCAACTCATTTCTTTGTTTACATTAGTTATGTTCAGTGGAAACAAGAATACGAGAATTTTTATCTTTATGAGCCTAATTAACGCTTTTTACCTGTAGCAAGAGTGAAGATATTTCAAGCCAGTGTGGGGTGACCATTGGTGCCCCTCTGTCTGATTCTGTGCTCACTAATGTAAAGTATTGACGATTGACGATTGAGTTGATGCCGTGGAGGTGAAGAGGATGTGTTGAGGGAGTGAGAGGGGAGGAGGATGTGTTAGAGGGGGAGGGGGTGGGAGAGGGGAGGAGGATGTGTTGAGGGGGAGGGAGGAAGGGGAGGGGGTAGGAGGGGGAGGGAGGAGCAAGGAGGGGAGAGGGGAGGGAGAGGGAGGAGGATGTGTTGAGGGAGAGGGGAGGTGAGAGGGGAGGAGGATGTGTTGAGGGAGGGGAGGTGGGAGAGGGGAGGAGGATGTTGAGGGGAGGGGTGGGGAGAGGGGAGGGAGGATGTGTTGAGGGAGAGGAGAGGTGAGAGGGGAGGAGGATGTGTTGAGGGAGAGGGAGGGGAGAAGAGGGAAGACAAGTGATATACCAAGAGAGGAAGGGGAAGGAAAGAATTAAATTAAAACACGTCTTCATTATCTCTCTTCTTCTTCCCACCTCCTCCTACTCTCCCTTCCTCTCTTCCCTCCCCCTCTCCTTCTCCCACTCCAGAATGAGGTACAATAATAGATGCAATAATGGTAGTCGTTATTGGTTATTGACATTGTTTATTTTATTCTAGGTTCTTAAGTTCTTTCAAGAGTGTGTGTTGTTGTTGGTGGTTGAATAGTGGTTGAATGGTGGTTCCCTTCCGTCTTACACCAAAATTCCTATAGATCATCACTACAAACACCACCACACACCATCACCATCACCACCACCATCACCACCACCAACGCCATTACCACTACCACTATCATCCTCATTACACCAACACTATCACGATCACCACCACTGCCACCACACACCATCACCACCACCAACACCACCAACACCATTACCACCACCACTACCACTACCACTATCATCACCCTCATTACCACCAACACTATCACGATCACCACCACTACCACCACACACCACTAACACCACCACCACCACAGTTTCCCATAAGATAGTCCAGTCACCCCCTCCCCCCCTATAGAAAACGACATCCTCATTCCTATAGAAAACGAACCTTGTAAATCGGGACCGTAAATCGCCCTCTTGTCGTTCATTTACATAGGCAACTCTCTCTCTCTGCTTTGTAAGTCGCCTCAGACCACTAAGTTACGGGGAATTTATGTTTGGCCCACACCGCCTCCTCACTTAGCTACGAGGGCCAGAGAAAGGGGTCACTATTCCTTCTTCCCTACCCCTCCCCTCCTCCTTTTCCCCCTGTCTTCTTGTCCTCTGTCTTCTCCTGGGCCCCTTGTCCTCTGTCTTCCTGGCTCCCTTGTCCTCTGTCTTCCTGGGCCCCCTTGTCCTCTGTCTTCCTGGCTCCCCTTGTCCTCTGTCCTCCTGGCCCCTTGTCCTCTGTCTCCTGGGCCCCTTGTCCTTCGTCCTCCTGGCTCCCTTGTCCTCTGTCCTCCTGGCTCCCCTTGTCCTCTGTCTTCCTGGGGCCCTTGTCTCTGTCCTCCTGCTCCCTTGTCCTCTGTCCTGGCTCCCTTGTCCTCTGTCCTCCTGGCCCCTTGTCCCTCTGTCCTCCTGGCTCCCCTTGTCCTCTGTCCTCCTGGCCCTTTTCCCTCTGTCCTCCTGGCCCCCTTGTCCACTGTCCTCCTGGGGTCCCTTGTCCTCTGTCTTCATGGGCCCCTTGTCCTCTGTCCTCCTGGTCCCTTGTCCTCTGTCCTCCTGGCTCCCCTTGTCCCTCTGTCCTCCTGCCCTTGTCCCTCTGTCCTCCTGGCCCCTTGTCCTCTGTCCTCCTGGCTCCCTTGTCCTCTGTCTTCCTGGGTCCCCTTGTACTCTGTCTTCTCCCGGCCCCTTGTCCTCTGTCCTCCCGGCCCCCTTGTCCTCTGTCCTCCTGGCTCCCTTGTCCTCTGTCCTCCTGGCCCCTTGTCCTCTGTCCTCCTGGCCCCTTGTCCACTGTCCTCCTGGGCCCCTTGTCCTCTGTCTTCCTGGCCCCCTTGTCCACTGTCCTCCTGGGCCCCTTGTCCCTCTGTCTTCCTGGCCCCTTGTCCTCTGTCCTCCTGGTCTTTGGTCCTCTGTCCCTGGCTCCCCTTTGTCCTCTGTCCTCCTGGCTCCCTTGTCCTCTGTCCTCCCTGGCCCCCTTGTCCCATGTCTTCTTCCTCTGGCCCCTTGTCCACTGTCCTCCTGGCTCCCCTTGTCCTCTGTCCTCCTGGCTCCCTTGTCCCTCTGTCCTCCTGGCCCCTCTTGTCCCTGTCTTCCCGGCCCCTTGTCCACCTGTCCTCCCGGCTCCCTTGTCCTCTGTCCTCCTGGCCCTTTGTCCTCTGTCCCTCCTGGCCCCCTTGTCCTCTGTCGTCCTGGCCCCTTTGTCCACTGTCCTCCTGGCTCCCTTGTCCTCTGTCTTCCTGGCCCTCTTGTCCTCTGTCCTCCTGGCCCCCTTTGTCCTCTGTCCTCCTTGGCCCCCTTGGTTCCTCTGTCCTCCTGGCTCCCTTGTCCTCTGTCCTCCTGGCCCTTGTCCTCTGTCCTCCTGGCCCCCTTGTCCCTGTCCTCCTGGCTCCCTTTGTCCTCTGTCCTCCTGGCCCCTTGTCCTCTGTCCTCCTGGCTCCCTTGTCCTCTGTCCTCCTGGCTCCCTTGTCCTCTGTCCTCCTGGCCCCCTTGTCCTCTGTCCTCCTGGCTCCCTTGTCCTCTGTCCTCCTGGCTCCCTTGTCCTCTGTCCTCCTGGCTCCCCTTGTCCTCTGTCCTCCTGGCTCCCTTGTCCTCTGTCCTCCTGGCCCCTTGTCCTCTGTCTCTCCTGGCTCCCTTGTCCTCTGTCCTCCTGGCCCCTTGTCCTCTGTCCTCCTGGCTCCCTTGTCCTCTGTCCCGGCCCCTTGTCCCTCTGTCCTCCTGGCCCCTTTGTCCTCTGTCCTCCTGGCTCCCTTTGTCCTCTGTCTTCTGGCCCCCTTGTCCCTCGTCCTCCTGGCTCTTGTCCTCTGTCCCTCCTGGGCCCCTTGTCCTCTGTCTCCTGGGCCCCTTGTCCCTCTGTCTCTCCTGGGCCTCTTGTTCCCTCTGTCCTCCTGGCTCCCTTGTCCCTCTGTCCTCCTGGCTCCCTTGTCCTCTGTCCTCCTGGCTCCCCTTGTCCTCTGGTCCTCCTGGCTCCCTTGTCCTCTGTCCTCCTGGCTCCCTTCTTCTCTGTCCTCCTGGCTCCCTTGTCCTCTGTCCTGGCTCCTTGTCCCCTGTCCTCCTGGCTCCCTTGTCCCTCTGTCCTCCTGGCTCCCTTTGTCCCTCTGTCCCTCTTGGCCCCTTTGTCCTCTGTCCTCCTGGCTCCCCTTGTCCTCTGTCCTCCTGGCCCTTGTCCTCTGTCCTCCCTGGCTCCCTTGTCCCTCTGTCCTCCTGGCTCCCTTGTCCTCTGTCCTCCCTGGCCCCTTTGTCCTCTTGTCCTCCTGTCTCTTGTCCTCTGTCCTCCTGCCCTTGTCCCTCTGTCCTCCTGGGCCCCTTGTCCCTCTGTCCTGGCCCCCTTGTCCTCTGTCCTCCTGGCTCCCTGTCCTCTGTCCTCCTGGCCCCCTTGTCCTCTGTCCTCCTGGCCCCTTGTCCTCTGTCCTCCTGGCCCCTTGTCCTCTGTCCTCCTGGCCCCTTGTCCTCTGTCCTCCTGGCTCCCCCTTGTCCTCTGTCCTCCTGGGCCCTTGTCCTTGTCCTCCTGGCTCCCCTTGTCCCTGTCTTCCTGGGCCCCTTGTCCTCTGTCCTCCTGGCCCCTTGTCCTCTGTCCTGGCCCCCTTGTCCCTCTGTCTCCTGGGCCCTTGTCCTCTGTCCTCCTGGCTCCCTTGTCCTCTGTCTTCCTGGGCCCCTTGTCCTCTGTCTTCCTGGCCCCTTGTCCTCTGTCCTCCTGGCCCCTTGTCCTCTGTCCTCCTGGCTCCCTTGTCCTCTGTCCTCCTGGCTCCCTTGTCCTCTGTCCCTTGGCTCCTTTGTCCTCTGTCCTCCTGGCTCCCTTGTCCTCTGTCTTCCTGGGCCCCTTGTCCTCTGTCCCTCTTGGCTCCCTTGTCCTCTGTCCTCCTGGCTCCCTTGTCCTCTGTCTTCCTGGGCCCCTTGTCCTCTGTCTCCTGGCTCCTTGTCCTCTGTACCCTGGCCCCCTTGTCCTCTGTCCTCCTGGCCCCCTTGTCCTCTGTCCTCCTGGCCCCCTTGTCCTCTGTCCTCCTGGCCCCCTTGTCCTCTGTCCTCCCTGGGCCCCTTGTCCTCTGTCCTCCTGGCCCCTTGTCCTCTGTCCTCCTGCCCCCTTGTCCTCTGTCCTCCTGGCCCCTTTGTCCCTCTGTCCTCCTGGCCCCCTTGTCCCTCTGTCCTCTTGGCTCCCTTGTCCCTCTGTCCTCTTGGGCCCCTTGTCCTCTGTCTTCCCTTCCCCTGTCCCCCTGTACCCCTGCACCCCATCCCTCTGTCCCTGTCCTCCCTGTCCTCTGCCCACTATCCTCCTGTCCCCTGTCCCCCCTGTCCTCTGTCCTGTACCCTATCCTCCTGTTCCCTGTCCTCTGCCCCCTTTCCCCTGCCCCCCTTCCTGTCCGTTGATTTGAAAGGACTAGGTGATATAAATGACTTGACCCCTCTTATTTTATAGGGGTGGGAGGGGAATTGGTTCATCTTCCCTCCTCCTATTCTTCTTCTCCTCCTCCTCCTCCTCCTCCTTCTTCTCATTATCTTCTCCTTACTCCTCCTCCTCATCCTCCTGTTCTCCTTCTTCTTCCTTCTTTTCCTCCTCCACTACTTCTCCCCTTTTCCTCCTCTTCTTCCTCCTGCTTCTCCTTCCCTTTCTGTTCTTTTCCTCCTCCTCCTCCTCTTCTTTTTTTCTCCTTCTCCTCCTCCTCTTTCTCCTCCTCTTCCTCCTCCCATTTCTCCCCCTTCTTCGTCTCTCCCTCTTCCTCTTCCTCCTCTTAACCCTGTCTGCGTCTATAACACTAAGGGGCGGTGCCTGATGGTGAGAGACTGGACGAACACTAGGCAGACTCAGCAATAATGAAAAAAAATAAATAAAAATAACCTGATAATTAAGTCAAGACGTAACTTTTTTTTAACCCTTATCTCGTGATGTAAACAAAATAAAAAAAATAAAAAAAATAAACTTCAAAACATAAGAACAATTAAACACTTAAGTAAGTTTAAGTGTAAAGTAAATATCCAAGTAAGATCCAAAATTACTTAAAAGTTTATATAGGTTAATTCTTATATACCTTTTTTTTATATCGGGATTAACAAAATTAATCCAATCTGTGATATGAAGAAAAATATAATTAAATAAATAACCAAATACAATCCTCCATTACTTACACGACCCGGAAGTAGATGGTTCCGGTCGTCAACAAGTATAATCATGCCAAGTAGTGTATAATTATATCAGGAAGTGTATAATTAGACCACGAATTGTATAATTAGACCAAGAAATGTATAATTATCTCCAAGAAGCGAATAATTAAACCCAGGAAGTGAATAATTGGACCCAGGAAGCGAATAATTAGACCAAGGAAATTTATAATAAATCCAGGAAATGAATAATTAGACCCAGGAAATTAATAATTAGACCCAGGAAGTGAGTAATTAGACAAAGGAAAGGAATAATTAAACCAGAAATGAGTATTAGACCAAGAAGTGTATAATTAGACCCAGATAGTGAGTAATTAGACCCAGGAAGCGAATAATTAGACCAAGGAAATTATAATTAGATCCAGGAATGAATAATTAGACCCAGAAATGAGTATTAGACCCAGGAAATTAATAATTAGACCCAGGAAATGAATAATTAGGACCCAGGAAATGAATAATTAGACCCAGGAAATGAATAATTAGACCCAGGAAATGAATAATTAGACCCAGAAATGAATAATTAGACCCAGGAACGAGTAATTAGACCCAGGAAATGAGTAATTAAACCCAGAAATGAGTAATTAGACCCAGGAAATGAGTAATTGGACCAGTAAACGAGTAATTAGACCCAGAAAGTAATAACAGAGGAATCAATACTAGGTTGGGATAACAGGCACAATAATTCTAATATATGATAACATAGAGATACCATAAACTAGTACGTTAAGATAACAGTATACCTTAAGATAACAGTATACCTTAAGATAACAGTACACCTTAAGATAACGGTATACCTTAAGATAACGGTATACCTTAAGATAACAGTATACCTTAAGATAACAGTATACCTAAAATACAACAATTAAGATAACAGTATACCTTAAGATAACAGTACACCTTAAGATAACAGTACACCTTAAGATAACAGTATACCTTAAGATAACAGTACACCTTAAGATAACAGTATACCTTAAGATAACAGACTAAGATAACAGTCACCTTAAGATAACAGTACACCTTAAGATAACAGTATACCTTAAGATAACAGTATACCCTAAGATAACAGTATACCTTAAGATAACAGTATACCTAAGATAACAGTATACCTTAAGATAACAGTACACCAGATAACAGACCTGAAAACATATACCTTAAGAACCTTAAGATAACAGTATACCTTAAGATAACAGTACACCTTAAGATAACAGTATACCTTAAATAACAGCACCTTAAGATAACAGTATCAACAGTACACCTTAAGATAACAGTATACGTTAAGATAATGTATACCTTTAAGATAACAGTATACCTTAAGATAACAGTACACCTTAAGATAACAGTATACCTTAAGATAACAGTATATCTTAAGATAACAGTACACCTTAAGATAACAGTATACCTAAAATAACAGTACTTAAGATAACAGTATACCTTAAGATAACAGTATACCTTAATATAACAGTACACCTATACTAAGATAACAGTATACCTTAAGATAACAGATACCCTTAAAATAACAGTACACCTTAAATAACAGTATACCTTAAGATAACAGTACACAGTAGAACTTTAAGATAACAGTATACCTTAAGATAACAGTTTCCTTAAGATAAAAGTATACCTTAAGATAACACACTTAAGATATCAGTATACCTAAGATAACAGTATACCTTAAGATAACAGTACACCTTAAGATAACAGTATACCTTAAGATAACAGTATACCTTAAGATAACAGTATACCTTAAGATAACAGTATACCTTAAGATAACAGTACACCTTAAGATAACAGTATACCTTAAGATAACAGTATAACCTTAAGATAACAGTACACCTTAAGATAACAGTATACCTTAAGATAACAGTATGCCTTTATAACAGTACATCTTAAGATAACACAAACCTTAAACACAAACTTGAGACAGAGTTTTCAAGAGATTGTTTACCGAGATGTGCCTCTCTCTCTCTCTCTCTCTCTATCTCTCTCTCTCTCTCATTAGTGAAAGTTCTACGTTATTTAGAAAAGCTGTTCTGAGGGGTATATAGGGATAGAAGGGCCCCATCCCTCATCCCCATTCCTATCCCCCATCCTTCCTTCCCCATCCTTCCTTCCCCATCCCTCCTTCCCTAATCCCATCTCTATCCTCATCTTAATCCCCATCTCCATCCCTCCTTCCCCATCCTCATACTCAACCCCATCTCATCCACATTCCAATCCCTAATCCCCATCCTATACCCCTTCCCATCCCTAATTTGGGAAGACCTAAAACCCCCAAAAAATATAGAATAAATTACTATTATTCTTTTCATTTTCAATTTGACAAATAAGAATCTACAAATTCTCTAAATCAGATATTATTTTTTTTTTTCCATGTACAGCAACACGTATACTGTGCTGTGGATGTTCGTTCACCAGATAAATCCTTGGAAAAAAAATCACCAAAAATGTGTCTAGACTTTGAGATATCGTGATTGGCAATCTAGGTATGAGACTCAACCATTTCAGATTGTGGGAAAAAAAAGGGTGAGGTAAAAAAAAAAGTACAGTGGGGAAAAAAACAATAATAGAATATTATAAATTGCTTCTGAAACAGACCACGTATGTAATTTTATTTTGAAAGGAAGTTGGATAGGAGGTTGAGGGGTGGAGGTAGGGAGGTTTAGGAAGGTGAGGACGAGGGGGTGGAGGATGGGTAGGAAGGAGGGTAGTTTCAGGAATTCTAAAATATTATACCCAGATTTTTTCTTTCTTTTTATTTTGAAGGGAGGAGATCACACACACACACACACACACACACACACACACACACACACACACACACACACACACACACACACACACACACAACAATTGGGGGGTAAACTATCTCAGCTAATTCTAAAATGTTGTTCCCAGAGTTTTTTTTTCTTAGAATTTGAAAGTCGGGTGAGGGGAGGGAAGGAGGAGGGAAGAGGAGGGGAGGAGGAGAAAGAGAGGAGGTGATGGAGGGAAGAGAAGAAAAAGGGAAGGACACTCCAAAATTTTATTCACTGATATTTGGGAAACAAAACATGAACAAGAAAAAACAAGAACAAGAAGAACAAAAATAAGGAGTTTCACAAAATGACGAACCTAGATTTTGTTTCTTCCTTTTGGGGCGTTGGAGGGAGGGAGGAGGAGGGGCGAGGGAGAGGGAGGAGGGGGATATTGACTTCGGGGGTGACAGAGGAGAGGGTGATGAAGGGAGGGGTGATGGAGTGAAGGTAGGAGGGGAAAAGGGGGGTGGGTGTTGTTGAGCGTTTCTGGGGGGGAGGAGAGAAGGGGTGGGGAGGAGGGGAACTCTGTCGATAAAGGCCATTCCTGTGTCTCAATCGAGCTCCATTCGTCGGCCTCGCCAGGGAGTTACGACAAACCAACAGGGCTAACAACCCCTAATGGATACGATCGGAAACAATTAATTCACTCTGATTGAATTAGGACCGACACACCCATTGGGGACTTTGCTAGCCAGCCAATCGCAGCTCGGCTTTTGTGAGGGGGGGGGAGAGTGGTAGTGGTAGGAGAAGTGAGAGGAAGGGGAGGGGTATGGTGGTGATGGTGGTGGTAGAGAAGTGACAGAGAGAGGAGGGGGTATGAAGTGATGTTAGGAAATTATGGAGAAGAGAAGAGAAGAGAAGAGATGGAGTGAATTGCTGATGGTGGTTGAAAGAATAGACTGAGAGAGAAAAAAAAAAAAGAGAAAAATAGAAGGGGAGACAATGATAAAGAGGAGATGAAGGAAATTAGTTAAATGACACCAAGTCCGTATATTTACCAGAGTGGAGACATTAATTTCAGGAACTTAACCTAACCTAACCTAACCTAATCCCAATCCTAACCTAACCTAACCTAACCTAACCTAACCTAACCAGTCGATTAAAAAACAATAAAACACACACACACAGTCTTATATACCAGGCGAGCGACCATCATTCACTACACCTGGGGAGGAAATTAACGTGATATATGTGACGGGTACAAAAGACAGACAGACAGACAGACAGAAGACAGATAGACAGACAGACAGATAGACTATCACGGACACATACAGACAGACACATATTTGACTTATGATGATCGACACATTTACACACACACACACACACACACACACACACACACACACACACACACACACACACACACACACACACACACACACACACACACACACACACACACACACACACACACACACACACACACACACACACACACACACACACACTCTGCTCAAACTAGTCAGTGATCGACATTCTTCATCTCGTTTAAATGTCAAATATAATGATCACAAAATCAACCTCGACCAAAAAAAAAAAAAAAAAATCCAAAATCAACGGAAATATACTAGATATAGTTTTTATCATACGACTAAAAAAAAACAAAAACAAAAACACAAACAAATAAAAACACAAGGACAAAAACACAAAAACGACGGAGATGTCCTTCCTTCCTTCGTCAAATACAATCTATACAAATCATCAGTCGGTATTTTAGCCCCCTGGTGGTAGA